TGGGGAACATCATAGTTTGTTTACATGTTCATTAGAATCTTGTGAGCTCATGAACTGTATTTATAGCAATAGATATTCACTTAAAATGAAGGTTTATTTGAAATTCAGACTAAAGACTCAAACCACTAAATTCAGCTCTGGATCTGAACTGCCCCATGTCCCAGGATGTCTGGATCCAGGATTTTGTTCCAGACCGCTATAGAGTTAGGGGACAGACATAATATTCTGTTCTGGATAGTTTACTTCCATTGAGTTTGGGGTTGTTCAGACACAGAAGTAAAATTCAGGCTCATCTTATACACAGCCATTCATCACGTAAAATTATATGTGACATTTGCTAAATTCAACAAGAAAATGAAATCCAGGTTTTGGGGTTTTTTGTTTATTAAGTTAACCCATTGTGTTACCATCAAAACATGCAAGTCATGTTCTGTGTATGCTTCCACAACTGATAAGAACTTCTTTATTTGTGAAAAATGTTGTTTGGAAGGGTGTTCTCTGAAGATTTGCTCAGGCACAGAAACATGATTTGCTTTCTGCCACGTCCCACTGAATGTTTGGTAAGAGAGCACCTACTCCATTTCTTCTACCCTCATGCAACTACTAGACTACTGTGTCTAGATTATGTAAATAATAAATCTCTGAGCAAACCATACTAGGCTCTTTTGCACATTGCCAATGTGAGGTGGCCTCCTGCATTCTAGGGTCCTTTGAGTGTATGCACATTGAATGCTGTTGGCAGATTAACCAGTTTTTAAAAGCAAGATCAATAGCACTTGGAGTTCCTGCCTGAACACACAGTATATATAATCATGCTCACAATGGACGACTAACCTACAGAACAAAGCGTGTTTAATTAAATCGAAGACCTGAATCCTCAAAGACTCAATAATAATACCTAGCTCTTATGGAAAACTTTTCGTCTTTGGAGCTCAAAAGGAAGTCAGTATCATCATCCCCATTGTACCAGAATCCCCATTGTGTGGGTAAACCGAGGCAGGGAGGGGAAAGTGATTTGGTCAAGATCATCCAACAGGTTAGTGGCAGAACCTGCACATACTTAATCTTATTCACATGTGTAAAGAACAGGCATAAGTAGAGGCCTAATTGTGACTGCTCTTATGATATTTAAGCTATATATATATATACACAATTTGTATTTTTCCACAGCCACAGTTAATTCTACTTAAGAAAATTTATGGCATTTAACCATGGAATTTTTTATTTTTGAAATGCTGTTGTTAGAAAGGTCAAAATGAAATCATAGAAAATTTTCCTTCATACTGATGGCTTTTTGGAAGCATTTACACATGCACGCACACACAGAAAAATAGAGATGATCCACTCTTCTGCTAAAGTCAAAATGAGCTTTAAAATAATAGTTCAAGTAAAATAAAAAAGCTTCTTAAGATGCAAAAAAGGACATTCTGCTGATTCGGATAAATTATTAGTGGAGACATATGTCTGTGGTTACGAAGTTAGAATTATTTAAAATTCATGACCTTTTTTCTTATAGTCTGGTGCTCCACCATACATAGCGCACACTTCACTGTGGGTTTAGTGAATGTGTACTAACTGTTCCATCAAATAACCGCAAAGGATAGTTAGCAAATATTATTGCATTCAAAGGACCAGAGTTCAAGCTGGGGTCATGCCCCACTATAGCAATAAACAATGAGTATCTAAATCTCAATGTACTCTCTAGACCCAATGTTAAATTCTTCCCTTCTGCGGGTAGAAGCAAATCATACAGTAGGGAATTTTGCAACCCAGTGCAAGCAAACGAGCAGACGAAGACCAAAGGTGTAGGTCCAACTCTGTGGTATTGCACTATGGATTAGCTGGCCATAGCGTTATTGAATCTTGCTATCAGTAAAGTGTCAATGTGGGTAAAAGCACTAAAGAACCTTTTTAAAAGGAAGGGTGGGAGGAGGAGAGGGATCTGGATATGAAAGAATATTAAAATTGGTGTAGCAGAGTAAAAATAAACTGCCTACAAGTGGAGCAGTTCTGAATAGCTCTTTTTAATTCCTTCAAACCATGGCAATTACATTAGATGCATGGTCCTGAAAAAATATACACACAATTATTAAAATATTGCTATAACTTATTCCTGGATCCACTCATAATTACTTTAGATCACTGTTTCAGATTTGTTTTAGTTTTAAATGATATTGCTCAACTTAACATTGACCACAAAGTCTTACTGAGGCCTTTGTTTTTATGTGCAAAATATTTATATTGGTTCTTTAAAGAAAAAAACTCACTGCCAAACAATAATGAAGCTTCATTTTTAAGGAAATAAAAAGCATTCTATATCAAGGACTATGTTAGAAAAGAAATTATGCTATTTTTAGTTTCTGAGTCTGGCTTTCACTTGATATGAAGGAAACGTATAGAATTACAATGAAAAGAGTGAAGTACTGTATATGAATTGATGAGAGTACCTAGATCCTTTTCAACACCAGGCTTTGAACTCAGAAATAAATCTATGATTCTGTAATTTATTCCACAATAGAACCCATATCACTATGCTGAATGAAGGACCTACTGCTACAGCCAGATGCCCGCTGCAGTACTCAGACGGAGCTGTGTGTTTGTATGGTGCATCTCAATCTCTGCATTCAATAGAAGCATGTTAAGAGACCTCTACACAAGCATGTTGCTGTTCCTCATGTCTTCACTAGTTGAGTCCGAAGAGTCATCAGCCATTGAGCATGGTTTGACCAAGTGGGGCAGACTCAGCTCAAAACAATACTAAATAGTATAAGTCTCAAAAAATTTTGCTTGTTTGTTTGGGTGCAGGAGAGTTTGAAAGAATATTTATACCAGCCTTAGTTGAAATAACTTGGGTTCTTCGATATCTGCCACTCTGTGTTCACTAGAGAACTTACTTAAGAACATAAGAATGACCATACTACTGGGCCAGATCAGTGGTTCATCTAGCCCAGTATCCTGCCTTTCTAACAGTGACAAGTGCCAGGGCTTTCACAGATAATCCAGGGAATAGGACAATTTATTGAATGTCATCCCCTGTCATCCAATCCTAGATTCTGGCAGTCAGAGATTTAGGAATACTCGGTGAATGGGGTTGTGTCCCTGACCATTCTGGTAAATAGATGATGAATCTAATGAATTCAGCAATAAGACTGAAATGTGGGATGGAGAGAAAACACTTTTACATGCTTCTCATAATCAACAGCCTATAAATGGGTGGGCCAGGAAGTGTTCAAGGAACATTTCTTTGCTTGTACAACCCATTCAAGGGCCCGGTACATTTGCAGACTCCAAAGCATCACTCCAAATGGGATTTAGAGATTTCATATAAACTTCCTGCCAGTTCACCCTATGTGGTGTTGTGTGATGTCTCTCTCTATTAAGATATAAACATCTCAGGGCATGAAACAGATCTTAACCTGTGCTTGCAAAGCACTCAATAAATATATGGCATTACATAACTTAGGTTTAATAACCAACAACAATGAACATTGCCACCATTGTATAGCTCCAACCCAGCTCAGTCCCAAAAGTTATTAGCTAAGGAAGTTTTTGGACCATAAACCCTTTATGGTAGTTTCTGGTTGACTGGTATCTGAATTCCATGGCAGGACACACTGGAATCTCTCTCCATGAGTCCAGCAAAACAACAGACTCACTGCCTCAGAAAGGGATCAGTCTGAGAGATTATTCTGATCCTACAGCTTGGATACTAAAAGGGTTATTGGATGCCACAAGTGATATTTAGCAGGGACTGAATGTCTTTAAATCACAAATTGTTGTTTGCTTTATTGCATGCATAGGCCAAAAGAAAGAAAATGAGATAGCCAAAAGTAAACAAACCAATAGGAGTGTTTTTGGGAAGGGAAAAACAAATGGAAAAAGACTAAAAACAAATGTAGAGTGCATTTATGTGTCATTTTTATTTTTAAATTAATCTTAACACCTTGAGAATTTTCATAACCATAGAACTTTGCTAAATCACATTAGTAACCCATTACAAATGAGTGAATTTTCTGATTTAGGATACAATTAAACAAAAAAAGAAGCAAGGCATCTGTATCACAAAGCATTCTTTCTTCATTTATTTGGCAAATGTTGGTTTAAAATAATTATTGACACTTCACAAAATACTAGTAAACTTTCTCTTGTGTCTTGATATGAACCTCCCCCAATAGCATCTGATCATGATAAAATTAATACTCGCTATGTAACTTTGTAGCATCTTGCATCTTAAATTAATCCTCACAATACTCCTGTGAGGTAGATAAATGGTAGCTGCCATTAGCTTTGTCTACAGTATAGAAATTTTGCAAAGATTTCTTATCATTAGCAGCATTACAACTACTATAGATGGGTTGCCAGCTGCCTCTGACATGTTATACATCACATTGATTAGATCATCTATAAGCAGCATTATATGAAACAAATACTCCTAGCAGCCAACAGGTCTTCTACACTGGGCTCCCAATTTTGCTAACAGTGGGAGAGCTGAAATGGTGTCAGTAGGGAAGAAAATTTTTGCAAAATTTCCATAATGTACACAAGGCTTAGAGGTTGAGCTACAAGGAAAATTAACCTTTCACTGCAATATAAAAGCAAGTAAAGGATTTGACTTAGCCAATCTGAGGGAAGAAAGAAGCTCCTGAGTTCAGTTGAGGGAGTATTGAAATCTTAAGGCAAAACTTTGCTACAAACACCAAGCTAGCCATCAGAAGCCTACACTGATAACAACATCACCTTGTGCATCCAACTTGGTGTCAATGAGTATGTGTCTCACTCCCTATTTGGTGTTATTTGTGACTTAAAGACTTTTAATCCAAGAACCACGAGCCTGTCTCACATGTGGGAGAAAGGCCATCATTTTTTGTATGCCACTGATAGGGTTGGCAGATTAGAAAATTTCAGATGTGGGAAGATTCACTATATGCTTAATTAACAGTGGCTTTAGGTCTGAGGAGATTGCCATCAAACGAGCCTACTAGAAAATGGAATGTACTTACGTATCTCCCGATTTGCGATAATTTACTGGGCATTCCAGAGAGAGACAGCGAAAACCGCCCTGGATGTTAAAGCACGTCTCATTGAATATGCAGTTATGTGTTTCTGCAACGCACTCATTGATATCTGTCAAGTGGAAAAGATAAAAGGGATGAAAGCACAAGTCCTCCCTGTCATGCAATACAGGAGAGCCACATGGTTTTAGTACCAGCTGAAAAAAAAAATCCTACAAGTGAGTATTCCTCTAAGGACTGTGAATAAAAGATGAGTGGGTTTATTGAAAGGATGTTGGAAAATGCATTTTTCAGATTGCAAAATGTGGCAGGGCTGTTGGTTTTTTTTGTATTTTCTATAAGCAAATAGCAGGGTTAATAAATGACAAATTCTTGTTAACAACCAAAATGTATTTGGCACCCCAATAACCCCTCCCACATACAGACTCAATCTTCTACTGAGTCCATGAGTTGTGTTAGCAGGAATAGCAATAGGAACAGTAGCATTGGGGTTAACAGTTGCTTCTAAAGGAACAATCCAACACAGGGGTGCTAGAACAATTTTTATAGTGGAGATGCTGAGAATCACTGAACCAAACTTAATTTTCTGTATAATGGAAACCACTTCAAGCCAGGGGATGCTGTAGTACCTCCTGCCCTCCTAGTTCAAATGCCTATGATCCAACAGGCTGATGCTGACGTCAGAGACCAGATAAGAAAGGCTGAAAGAAAACTCTGGTTCCCAGACATAAAAAACAGCTGGCAAGCATGGGGTAAAAGGGAGTCTGCAAGCTGCCTGGAAAGGAGGGGAGTAGGGTTGGTAGGCCTGTGATGATGGAAGCCACAAACATCGGGATAGGCAGAAAAGTTGTTTTAATTTTTTTAGATTAAAATTTGGAACAAAATTGTCTGCCATTTACCCTTCTTTTTACTCCAGCCCTACATGTGTGTGCTGTAATTGTCCTGATCCACACATTTCTCAGATTAGCATTATTTCTTAAAATTTATTAATCACAGCGTCTATAAAATGCCAAAAATGTTATACAAGGCAGGGAAGTCCCTAACCCAAAGAGCTCACAGTTGAAGGCCAGACAGATGGCAGAGGTTTGAAGAAAGAGAAGAACAAATATACAAGTCAGCATGTGAGAAGTTGGTCTTTTAATTTAGAGGAATTTAAATATAGATATGGTGAGGCCTTGCAGATTAAAGTAGTTATGCTACACCAGAAAGAGAGGGGAGCATGTCAAGTGAACTAAATGCTTTGTTTTGTGCATGGGAACAGTATGGTAGCTAATGGTATAAGTCTGCAGCTCTAAAATCAGTGCCAGCACCAGTCTCTGAAGAAACTATGTACTTTTCTTCCCTGACTGGAATGAATAGAGCAGGGGAAACAGGTGAATGCTCAAACCAACCCACTTAATTTTGTTGCACTAGCTGGGATTTCATTGTCTACTGAATTCAATGAACTTATTTAAAAATTCTGCTGAAAGGATATTCTGTTACTCTAAGATCCCAAAGAATGTAATTGCTATAGGATTCTGTTTAATTATTATAGAACTATTAGTTTTGCCCATATTAAATTCTAGTGGACATAGGGGATTTACTAACTTGCACGTAGGACAGACACATTTATGTTTCCCATCAATTAAAAATGTAATTAGATTTTTCCACGAGCTAACAATTTGGTTAGGCATTCCTATACAGTTATTGAACATACCTTGACAATTTCGTGCATTGGGTGCCAATCTGTAACCAGGAGAGGGACAGGTGCACTGAAAGCTCCCAGGAACATTACTACATCGATAAGAACAGATGTGCCCTCCAGTAGGCAAAGCACATTCATCAATATCTGAAAAAGAAATTCCCACAGATTTTAAACTCCTATGAAGCTTAACTTAGTATGCAACAGCTGCTATGATAGTCTGGGTTTATAAGTGTTTATAACTTCCCACAAACAGGATTGTGAATAAAATACTAACTAGAACTTTTATACATTTATCAAATAGTCTCCAAAATTCTCAACTGATGAAAATGTGTAAACAACTAATTCCACATCTGAAAACCAACTTCAGTGTGAACAAAAAGCCTCAAACTAAATTCCAGTCAAAAACAAAAAAATTCTCAGTTCTTTCAAATCATGCAAGCCATGATATTTCCAGATGCTTATGTGAGAATTCAGATAGCATCTGATTGCCTATGAAAACCAAACAATGAAATATTGTTTTCTATATAATGGTATAATGTAAGATACATGGAGCTACTTCTTTTTGTCATAATGCGTCCCATTGTTGTGGTAAGAACAAGAAAGGAATGCCCATCTCCCAACTTAAGAGACAGAATCCTTCTTACCTTCACACGTGATTCCATCTATATCACTAAGTTGATAGCCCCGACGACAATAACATTGATAGGAACCATACACATTGGCACATTCTTGGCTACACGGGTTGCTCTCACATTCATTTATGTCTGAAACACAAACGTTTATATTTAACACTGTAGATGTCTGCCTCTATGGCTCCTAACCCTGCAGGATTGGGACATACATTTCAAAAAAAAGCATTCATGCTGGCTAATCAAAAGTCTTTATTAAATAACGGTCACAAAAACGTGCACTGATATGTATGTCACTGAGCAAGCTGGCAATCAGGAGCAGGAGGAAGCTACATCCTCTCTGTACTGCCTGTGGTGTGGCTTTGACATGGGAGGCACACTGCAATGTACTACTATCTCCTAGGAAGTTGCTGCCCATCGTCATGGCAATATGCCAACATTTGTTGTGTGATCAGCAGCAAGAATCAAACCTACAACTTGTGGATCTAAAAACATGAGCTTTTCCTGCCTGAGCTATAAAGCCCAGCTCTATAAGAAGGAAAGTGAGTAGGCTCAAGCCTCTACGTGATCCAGTCATTGCGCCTGCCACACCGTGGAAGTATGGATTACACCAATATACTTTAATCACAATACTTGTATTTCACCTTGAAAATGACTACCAGGGATCAATTTTTTAGGCCAGTTTAATTTAGCCTATGACAAAACAAAGGAATCAGCCAAACAGGAATAGTAAATAGACAGAATATCTTCATCATTTTCTGCTTCTCTCGCTGTATGTCTACTCAGCCTAGATAAATTGAATCCTTACCGTCACATAACCTGCCATCAGAAGACAGTTTAAAGCCCATAGTACAGCTGCAGTAATAGGATCCAGGAGTGTTCTCACATTTGTGAGCACATACACGGCCTGGGTAGCGTCTACATTCATTAATATCTACAATGATAAATATAGATAGAAAGCCATGTAAAAAGTAGCTTTAGCTCAGCAGTCTAACATGATCACAAGAGTTTGATTTTCATTCTCCATAGCTAAGTTTTAAGCTGGTGAGTGAATAAATTCTCAGAATGTGAGTCTGGAAACAGAGCTGGTTTTATTTACCATATCCTGCTGCACAACTGAATGTGGTGCACTAAAGAAGTCTGCTTTATGATCTTTTAAAATGTTTTCTGAGGGCAGTGGGTATAATAGGTGGGGGAAGGCATTGCCTTCCCAAACCTCTAGCCTGGCCCCACCCAGACTTCACCCCCAGAATGCCTACTGTAGGTGTACTGTAGGCTGAGTGTTGCTGCTCTCAATCACTCACGCTCCCCATGCTCAGGGGCCAGGGAGACTGGGGGCTACGCACCGCCCCAACTCCCCATGGTTCTTCGGGCCAGCGGGAGGAGAGCCTCGGCTCCCATGGGAACAGGGCCTTCGCATAAGGAGTAGGACTGGGGGCTTGCCTCCCCCAGCTCTACCTTCACCCACTGCCCATTATGTTTGCACGTTAGGTGCACATCATAAATATCATAAAAACAATTATTCACACCCTCTCATAATCTTATCTTTTAACATTATTACATTTTAACAATACAAATGCACTTTTCTTCAAAGTGCCACTAGTCCTTTAATACATTTTTGGACTTATACAAATCATGGCATAATCCAATGCATTTTCAGAATAAAGAGTTTGTGATAAACTAATAGTTATATTTTTCATGCAATTTTAAAAACCACACATAAAATGCCACAATACTATGTTTAACAAAAGCTTGCATAGTTGGAGCCAGTAGATGGAACTTACCAACACAAGTTCTACTGATGGGATCAAACTGGTAACCAACTCTGCAATCACAACGGTAACTCCCAGGAGAATTTATACAAACGTGGCCATCTCCACATAGCTGGTTAGGTGATGAACACTCATCCACATCTAGGGGGAGGGAAATGAATGTAAGGAGGGTCTCATAGTTAAATCAGAGGATGGGAGATAAAGCAGTAAGGGCTCTACTGCCAGCTCTATCCCACATGCTATAGTAACTCTCTCTCTGCCTCCGGTTACTCACCTGTAAAACAAAAATAAAATACTTTCCTGCCTCAGACATGCTGTGAGCTCTCATTCATTAGTGTCTGTAAAGTGTTTGAGAGGGAATGCCCAGTTGCACAAAGGCATGATCCAGCTCCCACTGAAATCAAAACCAAGGCTTTCCTTGACATCACTGAGAGCTGAAGCAGGACCTACACGTTCAAATTATTATTACAGAATAAATATCCCTTGGATTCAAAGGATGTTAAGTAGCGAGTAAATGACTAATCGTCTACTCGATACAATTTGTATCAAGTACATGATTAGTCAAGAAGGGGCTGCTGCAGCTCTGCAGTTTAAATGTAGTAGGAGCCAGGCGTGCAGGCGAGCCGCGGTGGGAGGAGGCCCGGGACCCGGCGCAAGCAGGGACTGGACCGCTGCAGTTCTTCCTTTTAAATGTAGTAAGAGCTGGGTGGCTCTTACTACATTTAAAAGGCAGAGCCTGCCTCTGCCTCCCCTGCTCATCCCCACCACACACACACACGGACACACACACACGGACACTGTGCTAGGGGGAACCAGCTTGTAAGCTGGCTCTCCTCAACACTGGCTCCTGCTCCCCTCCCCGCCTTGCTGCCTCTGATAAAGAGGCAGCGAAGTGGGAATGGGGAAATGGGAGTAGTTGATTCAACTACCCAATAAGCCTAGCCTTACTGAGTAGTCAACTATTCGATTACTCTTTTACATTCCCTACTGGATTCCATGTTGTTATGAATGGCATAGGGAACACGGGCTGGATTTGAGTTTAGGCCAGGTTACCTATGTTAGATCAAATGCTAAGCTAAAGCAGCTTTGATTTTAGGTGAGAATACACTAGAGTAGGTCATACATTCACGCTGGGCTTGTTCCCCATGGCCCTATTTCCAAGTCCCTTTTCCCTTGTCACACTTGCAACTGTGACAAGGAATGAATGAGGATGAATGAGTCTGACTGATGATGATGAACTAAATACATTTAGCAAAATGAGAATGGGCCTTCTAACTGATTAGACAGAAGTCTGCTGCCAACCCCTTCCTGCATAGCCTGCTTACAAAGAGGACATCTGCTGGTGGACATGAATGGATTTTTCAAGAAAATGTCTGTTTCAGACTGGAATTTTCTACCATGACCAGTGTTCCCTGTAAACTGTGCAATTGTGGCTATGTCTACACTGTGGGTTTTTTGCAGAAGATGAAATGCAAATGGAACACTCATTTGCATATCTCCTTCTGTTCCTTTTTGAGGAACAGGTTTTTGCAATAAAAAGCCCTGTGTAGACGGGGCCGTTTGTCAGAAAAAAACCCTTTTGTGCAAGAGACTTTACACCTTGTTTTTTAAGGAATAAGGGCTCTTGCGCAAAAGGGATTTTTTCAACAAATGGCCCCGTCTACACAGGGCTTTTTATCGCAAAAACCTCTTCCGCAAAAAGGATCGGAAG